AGATTCAATTACTTTGGCCATCTTCCTTCAATTAAATTAAGTCAAAAATATTCAAGGTTACGGATAATTAACCAATACAATTACCATTGAAATAAAAAATGTATAAACAGGCAATATAAGTAACACGTTTTCCAAAAACTGTCATTGCCATCCCCCAAAACATCGGCACCAGTTGTGACAGCTCTGAAACATCCTGGACACCTAACGGCAGCTCTAGTGGAAGCCAGACTCAGCTGTTACAAAGGTGCCGAAACCAATGGCATCCCTGATACCTGTTGTGTATTCGATTAATTCAAAGACGAAAGGAGTCGGCTGGATTATTCAGATGAACTTTAGTGAATAAATAGGATGAACGAATCATACATAATGATATACGAAAAAGTGTAGGAATTCAGCTAACATAAGTCTTTCTGCGAAAAAAAACTCTTACTAAATTCTTTCTTCTTCGTCTGTCTTCAAGTTCTTCTTCTACTAGTTATAAAGCATCATGGGATATGTAGTCCATTTTCCGAAGTGTTACGTAAGCTAACACTTAGCCGTAAGTATTAGCTTACGTAAGTGTTAGCCGTAAGCTAACACTTACGGCTAGCCCCGAAAACAGTGGCACTAATGGCAGGTGTCACAGGAAGTGCCAGTATGAGGTGCCGAGGTCAGCCGAAGTCAATGGCAACTCTGACAGCTAGACCCGAAAACAGTGGCACTTGTGGCGCGTAATGACACCTGCCACCGGAAGTGCCATTAGTAGGTGCGGTGTCACGATTTGCGCTCGGCCCTGCTGCACCAGTTCGATTCCCGTCCTGTTGACCTTTCCTGCATGTCTTCCCCTTCTCTCAATACCGACTTTCCTATCAATTAACTATCAAATAAAAGGCCACCAGAGCCAATAAAACCTTAAAAAAAAAAAAAAAAAAGTCATCCCAATAATCAGGGGATCCTTAAGATTGTTGGAAGGTGGAAATCGGGACAAAAATCGCAGAGTGAAGCAGGTATTAGCAATACGTGGAGTAAACATTTCTTTAAATGAGCTCTTCATACTTTAGAATATAAACACAAACATGACACCAGTCATAAGAACGGTGGTATAAGCAGGTTGCCTGACAACCCAATATTACCCCATTAACACATGAGCCTTATACCTTATACCCCATAGAGAAGAGGAAACCACCCCCAGTCCTCAAGGGCCGCTGTCCTGCAACATTCCAAAGCATCCCTGGTCCAACACACCTGAATTAAATGACTAAATAACCTCAACATATAGCCAAGTTTCCCAGCGTCCTGCCAATGACCATATTATGTGAAGCAGAGAGATATTCAAAAGCCACAGGACTCCAGCCCTCAAGGACTGGAGTTTCACATCTTTACCATAGACCATCTAAAGCAAAATGATGGGATAGCTTACTCTGGTTTGGAACTATTGATGAGAGATGCACACAGTCATCTGACCCCAAACTAAAATATAGTTGGAAAAGCTGCAAAGTCGCTTTAGTTGCGAGTCGTTGCGAAGCCCCATGTGGTGATGTCATGGAATAAGAGATGGATGACCGCCTTTAACCACATGAGAAATGAGCTTAAATGCCTTGAAATGGCATTCGCTGTGAACTGGAGCTATATAAATAAACCGAATTGGCTATTACGGGGGATAATAAAGCTTGCTATACAATTTAGTGGTGTGCCTAGCCCCTTTTTTTGAATTTCACCTTTGTGTGACAATCAGGACTGTTTCTATTGTATTATAGGAGAAAATTAGAGAAAAATATGTACTCTTTTAAGTAAACAGTTAAATCTCAAATAGCAATAATTTTAAAACTGTTGATTGTTTTTTTTGTGACATATGTAACAGGTCTCCCTTGTAAATGAGACAGCGAGTATCAAGAGATTTTTTTTCTGTATAAATAAAGGATTAAAAAAAGTCCAACTGTGACACTGAATCAAAAATGACTTTGAGAGTCTTTAAGCAATAAGATTATTTTCAATTAACCAAATTAAAAATATTTCATGTGTCAGAATCAACACAGTGCTGTGACCTCTTACTTTCTGGTCTTGTAGCTGTGTTTACCATCAACCAATAAAGGGAGGTCACACACAGGTCCTGACACACACACTGGCACACAGGCTGTGGCATGGCGAGCCAATGACCTTTACTTTAAGCTTAGGTGTATGGTGTTAAAAACCACTGTGTTCTTAGGAAGCGGATTCGAACATCCAAACGATGACGATAGATTGTACTTTTTCTAGACAACTTTTATTGTTCAACTGTTACCATGTCAACATAAATAACTAGATAATTGTTTATTTCCAGGGAGGTTGGTGATAAGGAAATAAAAAAACTAAGAAAAAACATCAATTTAAAATCTTACTACTGAATTTGAAGATAACAGCATATTACCCAGAGAAAATATGATAACTGTCCACCATTCAGTACAGGAGTTGGTGACTCTGATGGGATTAAATATGATTGTCAGAGATTAATACTAGAAAGAGTTTATACCAGCTTTTTAGGCAAAAAGAAATACAAGTGATTCTCTGCACCCAATCAGAGATCAGTTTCCTCAGGAAAAGAACATTTTCATTTAATTTCATTGTATATTTTTATCCATATTATATGACAATAAATAATTCATTTACAAAAGGAAATTAAGTAAAAACTAAGTACATATTTCATTCAAGATTGACATTCAACCTCAACAACCAATTATAAAATTTTGACTTTTTGAAAAGTTTCAATTGTTTAACTCCTCATGCATTTTCCATTTCTCAAATACCAAAGTAATGTTATAAAAACCATAACTACTGAGGCAGAAAGCAGTTTTATAAAGTTAGAAAACTTTCCCTTAACCGTGCAAATCTGTTCCCGGCAGTTTGCAGTGGTTGAGAGAAGCGTACCCAAGTTCCAAGGATGGATATGGGATAATTAATATCCAAACCGTTATTTTGGTATCAACAGGTGATTGGTTTTACTTAGCATATGAAGGTTTTATGTACAACACATCAAAAGCGGTACCTTCTCAATTTAAATAACTATTTAAAAAAAAGGGTTGATCAAATGATCTGTATAAGAGTCAAGGTAGGAAGGAAAAGCAATGACATAATGAAGATCTTTTGACGTAAATTCATTTGTTTACATACGTAGTGCGGTAACGTCGCAACCCCCCTGAAATCGTGACTTTCACTACGGCTGTTCGAAGAGTTTAAATATGTAACCAAATAAATAAATAAAAATCACTAAAGCAGAACTTTAGACCGACCCTCCATGTCGTCCGTGATGGGTTACCTGATGTTCATCTGATGTTTTAATAGTCATCTGATGTTTTAAAAATTATCGAGGCATCAACTGTTGCTGTTTTGATTTGCACCCCTCTTACGCTGAAACTTCTCAGCAAAGATAGAATGTTTGCCGAGGTAGCTACATAGCTCACTGTTTGACAACAGCTGATGGAAATTATTAACTATATGTAACGTACAAATACACACAGGCTTCGGCAAACACGGTAAAAACACACGAGAGAATGGACATTTTTCATAGGTCACAGCTTGCCTCAGTGACGGCCATCAGACTCCCAACAAGCTAACTAACTTCTACACACCGAGCGTTAGCAGCTGGCTAGCAAGCTTAGCTAAACGCGTTGAGAGAACCTACCGTCTGTTGCCAGTGACACTTGTTCTGGAGACCGTGGGAAACACCAGACGTGATGCGTTTTAAGAAAGGTGAACCTAACTTATGACTCGCCCAGCTGCTGTGCCGTGAATTCCTCATACGCTGAGAGAGGCACTTATTTTCCCCTTTCTTCGGTCCCACCCAGCAGCCCCGTTTCGAACGACAACAGCTCCTACAAGAGATCGCTCTGTTGTTCGCTGATCTCGTTCTAGCTCTGGAAATTCAAATAGTATCGCGAGAGTTTGTGTCGCGAAGCGAACGGACTCTGGACTCTTCACTTTTTGGAAGTAAGCTGTATCTCTCAACTAATGTATTTCTAATACTATTGACAATTTTTGAATGGAAAGAAGTTGTTTAAGGTTAAGCACTCCTCAAGCACATCGAAAAGCTGAGGTGGGTGGTTAGTTACATTTACGTAAGTAACTCTTTGGGGGGGAAAAAAAACCGTCTGGGGTAATTTTACTACCCCACACGTTTTACTTTTACTTGCGTACTTTTATTATGAACCATCATAACTGTGTGTTAAGTAATTTTTGGATATTATACCCACCTCTGCATAAAACGAAAAAGAGAGAAACCAGAGCCAACTCTATGCTTTTGGAGGCCCAGGGTAAAATGTTACTTGGCGGGCCCAACAATATCCACACAGCATCATTAAACTTTTTATATTGCACAAGTTGGATTATTGTTGCATTTCTGTTTATTTGCTTATTAGTTTTGCATTTCGTCTTTACATGTAGACTGCTTTAGTGAACAAAAGCAAGGTACATAATATCCTCCCTACTTCAGTTTGGCAGGATATTATGCTTGATTTTAATATGGGTCACATTATTTAATAATTACAACTTCACGTAACATTTTCCCTTTTTTCACTCTTTAATTTCCATATTATCAGTCGTATCTGGTAGACCGGTTTACACAGATGGTACTGGTTCATAATTTCTTTCATTGAAGCACTGCCTTTTTTGGATGCTGTGCAGCAACAAGGATTTTTGCTTACTTTTCTGCTTTCAAATATTTAATATCATTTTAAGATCAAAAAGTACTTTTGAATACATTTCCAGCTCAGACATTAGAAATGACTAAATATTGAGTAGCATACAGTCATCCCTAACAGTTGCAAAATTTGCTTATGCAATAGTGTATGTAGCCACAAGGCACTTTATAAGAAATCCAATTCATATCCATAAATATATAATCAAATCAAATCAAGTATAAAGGCAGATTTACACTCAACTCCAAACTGATTCTAGTTATTACAAAGGAGTAAAATTCAATTTTTAAAACCAGTCATTAACTATTTAGGAAGCATCCACTGAAGGTGATTTTTTAGCATATATATATTTAGTTAGCATATGCTATATGCTACAAGTGATTCCACAAATACCCTTTTTACTGAAGTAACTAACCATTTTCCCTCTTTTATTTGTTTTACAAAATGGGCAGATAGTACATGAGACAATTTGGTAATGAGATGGCAGACAAGATAGCTTTAGAGCGCCATCCCAATCCAAGATAGAAAGGATTATGTGAAAGCCCTGTGTCCAAGTGATTCAAGAGGAAATGAAGTATAAGCCTGCATAGTTAGAAAGCTCATTAACTACATTCAAATCCTGTCACATGTTTGAAACCCCATACTCAAGTAGGAAATTCCTAATTAAGCAGAAAAACCAAAAAGTAAACTGCTTGTACCAGAATTTTGACATGTGACAGGCAGCAGAATACAGGATTTTTTCCAACCACTTGAACATTCTGTACATATTTGTAGTGAACAAGACAGATTTGTATCAATGTAATGCTCAAGAACAGAGGCAGGTGGTTTCCTGCTATGCTCAACAAATGTCAGGGCAAAAATGATCCAGTCCTGTGATTGACACAACAGTGACACCTAGTGGAGAAAGCTGCTGAGAATCTGAGCTGAAGACGTGATGTGCGACAAATGGAATGTGGTTTTTCTCATCAGTCGTGTTAACAATAAATCCCACACCAGGAGTGGTAATTTCGAATGACGTTTTATTACAGCCAGTAGTTTACGATACAAATCACCTCAAACTGCTCAGCAACCATTTCCCTGATATTGCTGACAGTTTGAGCACTGACACAGTAAAATGACATAAAACAGAGGAATGCATTCAAATTTATTACAATTTTCAATTTTATCTATTTTGCTATTTTTTTAAACTAATTTTTGTTTATGATCAAGGTCTAGTCAAACCATCTCTAGACCTGGCAGATTCAATTTCTTTTTTTTTTTTTTTAAGAAATAATTTATCGTTTTGCGATGTTTTCTGAGTTTTAGGTTTTTCAATGTTTAAGTTTTTTTTCTCTTTTTCCATCGGTGAAGCAGGTTTCAAAATGCTCAAGCTGCAAGACAAAAACAAAGAAAAAAATATATATAAATATTCCAGACAATAGTTTGAACAATGTTCATAATGTTTAACTGTGTATTGTCCCCACCTTAGACGCTGGGAACACCGGCAGGTGTGGTGGACTTCTGCGCAGCCTCTTTGGCCTGGTGGGCCTGAAGCACAGCAACAGCCTCATCCACCTGAAGCAGAAATGTTTATGAACCCCAAAGCAAATGCAGTGTTTCAACACAACTCAATATGTTCAAGATGAAGCAAACCTTGGAGCGCAGAGATTCAGGTGACTCAAGCATGTGAAGCAGCTCAGAGTTGTCTATCTCCAGAAGCATACCGGTGATCTTACCAGCCAGGCTGGGGTGCATATTCTGGATCAGGGGGAACAGACGCTCACCTGAGGAGGGAAGCAGTCAACTGGGTCATAAAACAACTCAACTGAAGGTGTTTTAAAGAGTCCCAGAAATCTCCATCAGAGCTGATTGTTCACTCACCCAGCATCTGCTTCTGCTCCTGAGGAGGAGCAGCAGCCAGCATGGAAGCAGTCAGGGGCTCCTGACCTTGGACATGGACAGCAGGCTACGAGACAGAAAGACGTCAGACAAAATCCGACCAAAAACAAGACAAAGTCCGCACCAACTATGCCAATAACAAAGTAACTTGGATATCTATATGGGTCCAGATATTTAAAATTTCTAGATCGAGTTTCAATGTCAGTGTCCTCAATCCATAAGGGCAGATCTATTCCATTTAATTCTATTGACATATTTTGAATCCCTAATTCCACTTTCTGAGCAGTTTAGAGATAGCACTATTGTGAATATGTAAATTGACGCTAGACCATCTGAGTGTGTGGGTATAGATGTATATATTTAGACATGTACACCAAGATAAGATGGAAAAATTAACTAACCTGTGTCATCTGAAAATATTGTATAAGTTTATGGGGTAGGAGTTCAAAGGTTTCTTACTTCTTCCTACTCCTTTTGGAGCATGTTAAGATTATTGGATAAAAATGTGTCTTTTGCATTCCTTGCTCGTGTGTGATTTTATATTTCTATCATGTTCAAAATAAAGAAAACAAAAAATAAACGTGAAGCTATTGGTGTATTTAAGTGTGTTGTACTAGTGCAGAGTTACCAAATACATTCATAATTCAGTACTTCGATGTCAAGAAACATCTCATGTCAATCCAGCACCGTTATTCTGTATTGGACTTGACAGTAAACCTCAGATATTGGTATCAGAAGTGAAAAAAGTGAATCTCTATTTGAAACAATTGATTTGTATGTAAATGCAAAATGTCTACTTACTTGCTGCATGGCAACTTGTGGTTGGGACGCCATGTGTTGCTGGGGGTTGCGCACACCGGCAGCATATTTGTACTGAGGCATGGTACGGACTGGGGCTGCAGTGGCTGAAGCGCTTGCAGGGCGCTGGCCGAGGGCCTGGGTGGCTGAGGGGAGAACCAGAGACAATTGGTTAAAAACGCCCACAGAGAGCGACCACCTCGTTAGGATGTTGTGACGTGAAATCCTTACGCATGCGCTGGGAGGCCATCATGCGCGGAACCTGGGTGTTGGTGGTAGTGGTAGCACGAATGGTGTTGAAGGTCTGGGGCCTTGGTGCTGAGGGACGCATGGCGTTGGGCATGTTTTGGAAATCTGAAGAAATTCCACACAATTAATGCATCAACATCAGGATGTTTAAGAGTTGAAGCTCCATTATGCAAGTTTTATAAAAAAAAATATATATATATATATATATATTTATTTTACATATTTGTTAAAACTATCTCTATATTGTGATGCAAGTATGGAAAAATCTGTGAAAAAAACAAAAACAAAAAAAGCAAGCTGTCTTCTCCCAGTGTTGACTACAAAATACAATTACAAACAGGAGGAGGGTCTTAGTGCCATCAATCATGCTTGTATACACACTGCTCACAACACAATCCCTCTTTCCCTTGCTCTGCGCTATGCTACAGCTCCTTCTTAGAGTCATCTGTGGCCATGCTAACTAAGGCTAGTTAGCATGGCCACAGATGACAGCAGATATGGAATGGTAAGTTGTTTCTCTCCCATTAGCACAGTTACCCACGAGAACACGAGGCTGATTGACAGCAATAAGACCCTCCTGGCTGATTGCTCGTTTCTCACTGGGAGCGGTGCGTTTCTTCAGATGGCAATACTGGAAGGAGGGGAATTAATTTTTTTCACAGGTCATTTGTCTCATATTATTCCTTCACAAAATGGTGATAGTTTTAACAATTATTATTTTTTTACATAAAAAGTTACATACTGCAGCTTTAAAGGAACATAGGAGAAACGACTTACGCTGAGGTCGCACTCCCTGAGCAGCCCAGCGAGGACTGGGGCGGAGCTGGGCCAACTGGTTGGCGGAGTAATACGCAGCGCGGTTCTGAGCCTAAAAACACCGATATGTATTGTTAAATACAAATCCACATAAAAGTACTGATGGAATATTAGCAAACCATGTTAATCAGCTGCCTGGGGGGTTCACCTGTGGAATAGCTGCCATGAAGTAGCCTGAGGGCGGAGCGGGCTGGTAGGGGTTGAGGACAGGGTTGGGCACGGCTCGGACCGTGGCCATCCTCTGCATGTATTGGTTGGTCAGGTGGGCCTGGCGCTCTTCCTTCCGCTGAGCCAGCGCCACATACAGAGGCTTCGTAGCCACAATGCGCCCATTCATTTCCGTCACAGCTTTAGTGGCCTCTTCAGGCGATGAAAAGCACACGAACCCGAAACCTTTGCTGCGGCCGCCCTCCATCATCACCTGAAGCCAAGAGTGGAAGACATCCGTTGCATTTTCAGACCACCAGCTGATGTGACATTTTGTCTG